AAAGAAAGAAAGAAAGAAAGAAAGAAAGAAAGAAAGAAAGAAAGAAAGAATATATTTGGAGTACAAATAATCCCATGTGTGAGCAGCTCTACATTGGGACTTTTCCATTCATTTTCTCATCTTACCTTCATAACAACCCTGTGAAAGATGTGCCATGACCCCTTTTTACAGATGGGAAAACTGAGACTCCAGGAGGCGAGGTGACCAGCACATAAGGATACAGGTGGAGTACAAGTCCAGCGCCTTCTAATTCTCGAATCTAACCTCTTCCCACAAAGCAACTTGAGAACGGCGGGCCCAGCTGATACAAGGGAAGCCTAAGTGAGCATCTTGTGGCCACGCTATTCCAGAGACTATGTTAAACAAATATCTGGTTTCTTTAAAACAACAACAACAACAACAAAAACAAACAAACCCAACAACCGAGCAAACAGAAAAGGCAAAGTGCTGAGTCATTCCCCCCAAGTAAGCGGAGGGAGGTGATTACAAACAGCTGGACCAGACATCATGCGGCTCCACTAGAAACGCCAGAGGAGAAGCAGGAAGGGACTGGTTCAGAAAGGAGAAGGAGAACCGAAGCGGGGAAGTTATTTCAGAGCACAGAGCACGGCCAGACAGAACCGGGTAGAGCCAGACAGAGCCCGAGCCCTTGGTTGTGGAAGAAAAAAAGAAATCGAATTCTAAAAACTCAAGAATCCTTGGTCTATGTCCTTGCCTCTCAGTTAAACAGTAAAGGAATGGACACAGGCCCCCAAACCCTGAAGGCGGGACAGTCCATCATGTGAAAATAAGTTTGAGTTGGGACAATACAAGTGGTGGGGAGGCCAGTGAAAAATCTACCCTACGGGGGGAGCATGGAGCTGAAGGATGAAGCGCCATGTTTGTACTTAGAGGTTACTCTTTTCCTATCGTCTCTACCGAGGGTACGGGGTTGTTTATCTTGAAAAGACTGAGTAATTACCTTTTATTTTTTTTAGTTGACCACTTGACTTTGGATATACAATCACAGAGTTAATTTTCCCTTCCTGAAATTGCTGCACCTCTGAATTGGCATACCTGCTCAGCTACCCCCACTGCTGACCCTGGGATTGTCTGGGCCGCTGCTGAGGTCCAGGCCTTGGCTGAAGAAGCATTTACGTGGCACTGGCCCTGCAACCTTGGCTGATGTTAGAACAGCATCCCATCAATCCCAAAATGGGAAGTCAGGAGAGGAAGTGGATTAGGAATGTGGGGTAAGGCCTGCTCATGTTCTGCCCCCAGCCAATATCATTTGGCACCTACTCTACTCCATGGACTTAGCTAGAGGCCCAAGGACAAGTTGGATTCGGGGCATTTAGCTTCAAGTGGAGAGGAGTTAGCAGGAGTGTCCAATGCATTCCTTTAGACTTAGACGAGTGGAAATGGATAAGCAACTGGACATGAAGATATTAATTGGCAAATAAGAGTCCTCGTCGAGTGAGCAGGGTCCATTTGCAAGCAGAAGTAACTAGAGGGAGAAAGACTACACGGAGTACAAGAGGACTCATCCTTTGTTTTTGGCGTGAATGTAAAAATGAGTAAGTGTGATGCCAAGGGTCAGAGAGAGCGGGGGCATAGACAAGCATCAGACAGACTTGGGTCTGAACTGTAGCTCTTTATTTCAGGGCTGTCTGAGATAAGATAAAATCCAAAACCTCTCTGAAACTCACCTATAATATGGGGCGAAAGATATGTGGGTTGAGGATGAACGTGGATTAATGCCTGTAAAATGTCTGATAGGGTACCTGGTACGGAGTCAATTCTCAGCTAGTATTCCTTCCCTTGTTCTCTCTCCTGAGGAGAAACATGAATAATGAGGATATTGTGGTAGGCAAGCTTATGCTTAGAACTGGGTTGGAAAAATCCCGTATTTGTCATAATTGAGATAGATAATCAAGAAGTATTAAGTGCCGGCCACATTAAGGGTGAAACCAAAGCACTGCATGAAAACGTAGCTTGCTCAAAGTCAAGAAACTGCTAGGTAAAAGTTTCCCCAAAGCTGCTTGGAAAGTTGGCCCCAGGTTCCTCATTCCCTAGCTTATCATGCTAAGGTCAGAGAGTCTGTGTTTTTAATTAAAACCCAAATGCTTCCATCCTGTGAACATACCTCCTATCTCAGCAGCCCTTAGGAGCACAATGGGTCCTCCCCCTAGTCTTAATAAGATCAAGACAGAAACAACAACAGTAGCCACTGTCCTCCCCATCTCCCTTGGCTCCACAGTGTGTACCTCTTTCTCTCTGGGAAGTCTGTGAGTCAGGATCTATTTCCAGGAACGCCAGCCCTGGAAACGCCAGCCCTGGAAACTGCTCTCAGTTTGCCTGTCTTGTGCAGAGAACCTAGTCCTCAGGGACTCCAGGAAAGAGCACTTGGTCTTAGGCTGTGTACTGAGCTTGGTTCTTGGGTGGAAGCTGCCTTTGGTCCTCCAACTGCCATCCTGCCATCACTCCTGCCCAGGATGCATGAACGAATGAACTCCGTTCCTCATAGTTCCATAGGCACCCCTCTGGGTGGGCTCAATGGGGAAGGTAAAGAACCTTCTACAAAGACTGGAGCTGAGGGAGGATGCCCATCTCCCATCTTTTTATCACAGAGAGACACAGAACAAAGAGCCCTGTCTTACTTGAATTCTTGTCTCTTTTCTGCTGTTGACCAGTTGACAGGCTTAATTGTCCATCTGCATGAAATCAAAGTTTAGTGAGCTTAACTCTGTCTACTGGGAGTTTTGAAAATTTTAACTGTGGAATAGGGCTCATGGGGACACAGAAACTGCTCTGGATCAGACAATCCTGGGTGAAAACTCCAGCTTCTATCCTCACTAGGCCTGGGATCTTGGAAAATTACCTTTTGAGTTTCCATTTTATCAAAGAATATTGTATGGTGGATGTAAATACTTAAACTACAGTGCAGATGTGTAATACATGCTCAGTAAGAATATATATACCCTGCCCTACATTGCAAGCAAGAAGAACCCCTTAAAAATCTACCCCAGAGCCATTTTCTGTTATTCAGACCAAACAGACAATATTTCTGATCCCGAGGTCTATTAAGCAATAGGAAAACACCCTTTGGGGGTGATTGCTGACAAAAAGACCTTCCTGTTCCAAACTGGAGGCAAAGACTAGAGCAGAGGGAGGAAGCAAGCCAGCAGTGGTTTTGTTTGGGACCAGCTGGCTCATCCTCCTGAGGCGGGGACCCAGCGCTGGGCCTTCCTTTCCCCACCCCTTGCATTCTATGAGAGAAGCCATCAGAATGGGAGGTCGCCATATTGGCCAGAGACTCCTCCCGTGGGGCTTGGAGAGTGACAAAAGTGGCACAGAGTTCCTTTTCAGGGTGGTCTCTGACGGGAACAGGGAATCCAGGAAAAGTCTTGACGATAGAACATTAAAACAGAAACACATTTTTGGGGCTGAGATTTCCAACTTGGGGTCTAAATTCCCAGGCAATATTGAAGCCTTAGTGTAAAGAAAATGCTCTTTGGGGTTCAGATTGCCTAGATTTCTTCCCTATTACTGCTTTTTTCTTCCCTGAACACAAAAGAAAGTTAAGCTCTACACTCCAGGATGGAGCTGGAGAGAAAATGATCCATTTACTTAGAGCAGAGGAGATGGTTTCCAGAGGATTTGTAGGAAAATGCCCTTTGCCTGCAGGCCCTTGGAGCCCAGGCTGGGCTAAGCTGATTAAAGCTCCATTCAGAATTGCAATAACCCAAAAGATACGCCAGGGCCACTGATGGGCCTCAAGATTAGCCACTAAACTGATCACTCTCTCTGGGATTGTGGCGGCTGTATTTTTAGAAACTGGGCACTCTAAAAAAAAAAGAAGAAGAAGAAAAGAAAGAAAAAATTTCTATTTTCTCAGGCTCTGTGTGCGGACCTCATTAATTTCCCAAAGTCTCAGCAGAAGAACAATTGCTCTAATTCCATCTGGCAAGGTTCTAAAGCTTGAAAATTTCTCATATAAAGTATACAGAAAATGAATAGACACACTTATATATGACCTCTGTAATAGATGGCTCAGTATGCGTAATAGGCTACACCCCATACACAAACACGCACATGTGTGTATATAAATATTTTTTTTTCCTTGCCTTCCTGCCCTTATCCTGGAATTCTTAGCAATTTGGCCTGTCCTTGCTTATTAATGATGTTTCCAGAGCAGGGCTCATTGGTGCATTTTCGGCAATGGGCTGATTAATAGGTGGGCACGGGGGAGCTCTCTGGGAGCCTGAGCATTGCCGGCTTGTTGACCTTGATGCTGGGGGATAGTCTAGCTTCAAACTATGGAATCTCAGTTAGCATCATAAATTGTGGAGCCACTGGTTTTATTACCCTTCTGCCTCCTGCTGGGAATGTTGTTTCTCTTTAATAATGGGCTGAGAAGCAGCAATGAGCACTTCCCCTCCCCCTCCTCCCTGCAAAACTTGCCCCCTCCACTCTTCTCCCCCTCCTCCACTCGCCACCTCCCAGCGCTGGTCAGCAAGGCAGATAGACAGACAGACACACAGACACACACACACACACACACACACACACACGTGCTCACAGCATCAGGCATTCATTCGCATTGTACACACCCGTGTGTGTGTCTATATATATATATAGCAACCTATCCTTCCCCCTCCTTTTAGCTCCAGGACTTAGTAAGGAAACACCCCCCTCTCCTTGGCACAGCTAAATCAGGCAGGGATTTTCAAAAGGCACTTTTGTAAACATCAAAGGAAAACAGAAAGTAACCAATCTTAGAAAACATAAAAATAGTCTTGTTTTCAAAATAGAGATTTCTAGAATCTCAGTAGAAATAGAGAAAAACTGGCCTGACTTCTAAACACTGTTCTCAAAAGAGCAAAGATAATGCTCCTTGCTTCCTCATTGCCCCACTTCCCGTGGCCTCCAAGAACGGTCCCACTCCTTGGGCCTCAGGGACTCATGTCTACACAAAAGTGCACCCTCGAGCTGGACCCAAAGGAAGATTCACTTCCTTGCCTGATGTCAGCCCCTCCCACTTCTAGATCTACCCCACTCCCACTTCTAGAAAACTCCAACTCAAATCTTCAGAGTTTTACTCAATTGTCACTTCTTAAGGGAAGCCCTCCAGGACTTCCTTGTCAATGAAACCCCTCTCTTTATCCAAGATTAATGTGTTCCTTCTCCCTTTCACAGCAACCATCCCGGTTGTAAATGCATGTTTATTTGTGGGAGCATGTGTTTAATGTCTACGTCCAGAGCTGGAATGTAAACTCCTTCAGTGTAGGATGCCACAGCATTGATCTCATTACCAGAAACATAGCTCACATTAAATCACATTTGTTGATTGACTAGACAACCCTTCTGAATTGCACCACACACTTCGGAGAAGTGGCTTCCCAAATCCATGCTAGTTCAAATGTCTAGGACAATGATCTGTCTCCATATTGTAGTAGATATGGCTGGTCTCCCGCTGAGCTGGTGCATCTGTCCCTCAGCAGCGCTGAACACTCTCCTAGAGAATTACTCTGAGATTAGGAGCTATCTCCCCAGAAATGCCTGGGAAGCTATATTCCCCCCAGGAGGTGGTCAGTAGCCAATGGCCAATTAATATGTGAGTAGAAAAGCTTGGCTCCCTTGCCTCAAAGTGGGAACACGTGTGTGTGGTGCTGTCCAGACTGACACCAGTCTTCAGGGGAGCTCACGGGTTTTCCTGTCTTGCCACATGTGGCTTTCCTCATCCCCTTACAGATTTAACTTGAGAGCACTCTCTTAATAACTCATTTGCATATGAATCTCTGTCTCAGGAACTGTTTCTAGGACCTAAACTGAAACACATTCAATATTCATAACCAGGGGGATACTGGTAAACCAACTCTCCAGAAAAACATACTGACTCTGGTTTGTACTATTTGCCAATTTTCATGGTGTAAGTAACTCCCACTACAGCTAATTTCAAGCTAAACATGGTATCATTGAACACAAGGTGGGAAAGGGATGCACACAGTTGGCTCCTGGGAGTCAGTGGGGACCATGTCTGGGCATACCATTGCTCACAATATACATGAAATGAGAGTTGTATACATAATATTAATATTAGTAGTTGTACCACTGTGAGCACTAACCATGTGCTAGGCATTATGTTAAATTCTTTATATTTACATTAGTTCTCACAACTCTGAGAGGTTTGTACATATTATTACCCCATTTTACAGATGTAGAGGCTTTGGCTTCTGGAGTTACACGGTATATCTAATGTCACACTGCTTATAAAAGCTGGTGCTGAGATTCAGACCCAGATGTGACTCTAGAATCTTAATGTATGACCATATTTGGTGATACCTACCAAAAGGTAATAAATGCTCATTTCACGTGTATAGCATTTTAATTCTGCATGGTGACTTTTTTCTGCATAATAATTTGCATTCCTTCTCATATTTTAATGATTTCAGTAATAGAACTGTTCGGGACAAACACAATTATTTTCAAGATAGGGACATTGAAGCTCGTTGTGATTGTTCAGGAGTTCTGAGGAGTGGATGGACCTAGAACTACTGCTCAGGATTCTCATGGTCTAGGTGTCTTTCTAGCAGACTCTGCTCCTTCCTCCCCAGCATCTCAACTCTCAATGGCAACCTCACCATTTTCTGGATGTAAGATCTATCCCGCTTTTAACCAGAGAAGGCCAGCATTCAAGCAATCATAGGGACTGTTGTTCATCAGTTCTTCAGTAGTTTGAACACCTACTGTTGTGAATCTAGAGTGGAACCTCAAGTAAGGAAGATATGACCAGGACTCCTAAGTAGGTTTTGGTCAAACCATTCAGTTTAGTTTAGCCCACAATTACCAACTGCCTGCAGCACCTGCCCTGGAACTCCTCAGGGGCTTCTGAGACTTGGCTGCCAATGCAAAACCCTTCATGTGTAACTTGGCACATGGTGGGCAGTCAATAGATCTAACTAGGTCCCTTCTCCTTCTTCGGTCCAAAACTGTTAGCAGGTCTTGCTGGAGAATGACAATGCATCTATGCTATGGTAGGTCTGTGCACGCCCCTACTTCTTTCTTCAGAAAATATGATGAGGGGCGCCTGGGTGGCTCAGTCAGTTAAGATCTGCCTTTGGCTCAGGTCATGATCCCGGGGTCCTGGGATCGAGCCTGGCATTAGGCCCCCTGCTGTGCGGGGAGCCTGCTTTTCTCTCTGCCTGCCACTCGCCCTGCTAGTGCGCGCTCTCTCTCTTTCTCTCTGTCAAATAAATAAAGTCTTTAAAAATATATGATGAGATTATTCACAAATAGCAATCTGTCCAATGTTTGGTTCTTTAAGTATATTCATCAATGGTAGATATTATTGATAGTATTATTCTATTATCACTTTCGTGATGGGCTATTATTTTGGCCCTCTGTCCCAGCTGGAGTTGCCATCTTGATGACTGTATACTTGCAAATCTAAATCAAATTCTAGGTATTATTTACAGATATGTTCTTCCCCTTCTGTAGGAGAGAACCTCAGGAAAACATCACCTGTCTTAGCGGTTGGGCCATGGATAATGTAGGTGGATGTTATAAGCGGGACAGGAAGCCAGTGACAGAGCACAGAGTCCATTTAGCGGCTGTAAGTCAGGTGATCAGAAAGACGATCAGGAGGGTCTGATGATTCCCCTGAAACACATGTCTATTGAGTATTTGGTGTGGATAAGGACGTCTAGAGATGACTAAGGGGTAGATCCTCTTTCAAAGGTCACCATTAATGTTCTCACATTTGATAATCTGATGAAAGCTGTCTGCCCTCTCTTCTGGGGGGTGGGGAGAAGAGGGAACCACGTAGACTTTCACGTACACTGTTTTACTTATAATTTCAGGTGAAACTCAGTCATAGACTTCAAACTTTAAATTCATTTGGCATTTATTGAGTACCTAGCATCCTGCCAGCTCCAGTGGTGGATGCAAATAAAGCTCATCTGCATTGTTTTAGGGCAGTAAATCATGAACTTTGATAGACTGCCTACCACAGCAGGGCCAGATGGGAGGGGTGTTTTAAAGGTCTATGGGCCATCCACAGGGGAGAAAATGTTTCTGGCTAGAGGTGGTGAGATTTATTAATTACCCAAGATACACAGGATACTTTGCTCTCTCTGCTGTCCCATGATCATTCTGGATGGCATTACCATCTCGTGGCCAGCCCCAACCTCATCCTGGCCATTAGTCTGAAAATATCCAAATCACCCTGAGCCCAACCTTCCTCCCCATTCCAGCGTGCCCTGGATGTATCAGGGAGAGAGGTGGAGGTAACTGGACTTCTCAAAATCTTCCAGTAAGCCAAATGCCCTGGCAGACACCTACATACCTATATAAATAATGCAGTGGGCATTATTATACCTGTTCTACTGCTGAGAAAACTAAGGCTCAGAGAGCTTGAAAAAGTTACCCAGAGTCACACGGGGAGGGGTGGGCGTGGAGCAGTGTGTTTGACTATAATTTCCAATGTTTTTCTATCACACAGGCTGGTGGCTGGAAGGTGGGTAAAACATCACATTATGGGTGCAAGCTGAAGATCAATGTGCCTGCCCTCAGCGAACACAGTCAGAGAGGCTCTTAACCTCTTGGGGGAAATGGGCAAAGTGTGGAAATATTACATAACTTTGAGCATCTTCCCAGAAAAATACTGAAAACTTTGCATATAGTTTTGGAGAAATATTTGCACCCCTCCCCCATTCCGATCCCAAGCAAAGACTCTAGGCTCAGAATATACTGGAAGCAGACTCTAGCAATTCCAAAGTGTGCATTCCCTGTAAAGGAAATGGTGCCAAGTGTTCTGCTGGAACCCTCAGGAAAATACGTAAGTGCTGCTGGTGGAAATCACCTGTTCCATGTTGGCTGCTGCTTCGGAATTTAGAAGGATGACGTGCAGAACATCAGTCAATCAGAAGGATTCAGGACATTCATCCAGGCACACGGGCAACTTCTGAGTGACTGCACAGCCCAACGGGGTTGTGCAGGGCTATGTGTCCTTTCTGTGGAGTTGAAGCAACTCTCCATGGGCTTTGCAGGGCAAGCCAGGGACAAGGGGTCATTCCCTTTGAAGGAGAGATGTGTACAGAAAGTATGCAGGAGAGTGAGAGCCTGCATATTGTATAGTATTTCCTTATTTGTTTTCAACCTAAATCAGAAAGATATTTCTTGGGATTGGCAGAGTTGCTAAGACAGAATTTTTTTTTAAGTTAAGATTTAAGCATTACAGGGAATTTCGGGGTGCTGGGGTGCTGTATTTCTGGATTTGGATGCTGGTTGCGTGAGTGTGCTCAGTTGTGATATTCAGTGAGCTTACACTATGTATGTAAGTTCTACTTTTCTATAGGTCTATTATGCTTCTATATATAAACATATGCTACATGTATATATATTTCTCCATGTGCAGTAAAATGTTTTTAAAAAATGAAGCAAGCTATCTAAAACTCACTTTTATGAGGAAAAACAGTATAATTTTCTGACATAATTTAAATGCTCAAAGTCGCAGTCAGCCAAATGTCTGCCACGTTAACTTAAAGATTTTGTGGAACAGGACCGACAGCTCAGCACATGTTAATACACTGAACTGAAAGTTGCAGCAGGATCTGCTAACTCCCTTGCAGGGTGTCTGGCAGCAGAGTCCCCGGGCCCTCTCTGGGGCCCTTCCTCCTACATGCTGGCTCCTCTGGGCTGAGTCCTGGCTGCAATTAGCTATGTGGTTGGATTCATTAATCCTGACCTGAGCAAGCTTGCAGGCCCACAGGGTTGTGGAATGTGAAAGGAGTCTGCTGCTAGATGCTTGGCATGGCTTGTACTGGGATGTTGGGGTGCAGTCTGCAAATCCCACCCCCTCCTGTCTTTCTGGAAGGTTCCATTCATTCCCAAGTGCTTCAGCCCTGGTTTACTGAGCAGCACTCAAGAGTCCTGTTGGAGGCTGTGTCTGCCTACGCCTTGACCATCTCTGTTTAGTAAGGAGCTGCATTCAGCTCCTTCTGTCCCTCTGCTCTGGTTACCCCAATTCCAAGCCCCACCTCTTTGGCATATGCCATGGACTTTACATGCGAGGTGTCAACTGGACCCGCAACACAATGGCTTTTGTGTCTGACATCCTCAGCCTCATCCTCCCAAGCTCCCCCCCCCCCCCGCCCAACACACACACATGCCTCTTTCAGCTCAGCCACCCAGCACCGTTTCATTCCTTCCTCCCCTCCCCGGTGGCTCCTGCCTTTTGGTGGCTGTATTATGACATCCTATGTCTCTATGCATAGGGAAGCTGCTGACTTCAGAAATTAGAAGGTCTGACTGAACTACAGGAAGAAAGGAAGCAGAGTCAGAGCTGAGGTCCCAAGTCACCTGCAGCAATATGTGAACACAGGAGGCTTGGCCTGTGTACTGAGCCACCCCCAACAGGAGATGCACCCCCCTCCCCCGGGAGGGGAGCGGGCACAGGCTGCTGCCCATGCCATCCCTGGGGACCCAGCCTGGTTGCTCCGTCGGTTGGGGGTGGGGAGAGAGGGTGGGATATAATGACACACAGCAATGTGTTTCTCTGCCTTTTCCCTCTGTCACTGCGAAAATGCCTGAATACCAGGTTTAGTCCCCTACATATTTCTTTATTCACTTTTCAAAGGACTTAAGGAAGTTAGCTCTCCATATGGCGTGGGTCATGTGGATCCAACGTGCCCCTCGAAGACCCTCGAAGATGTAGAGCATCATTTCTGCAAATAGATCTCAGAAGACGCCGTTCTCCAAGGCCAGGGTCAAGTGGAAAACAGCAAGCGTGTTGCAGGATGCCAATAAATCTGCAAGCCTCCTCCAACTTTACTGAGCCCTTCTGAACTCATTCCTCCCTCATCTGTGGATAGACATAGTGAAGGCCCTGCCCAGTTCTCACTGGTGAGGCCCCGACCAGATGGCAGAGAGCTATGAGGCAACTGTAGAGTAAGGATCGTTAAGAACAGAATGTGAGCAACTTCCAGGAAAGGAGAAGCCGCCGGACTGCAAGAGCCTCGTGACAAGCAGGCGGTGTCTCAAAGTACGGCTTTGTTGACTGCTGCCACGACATGGACGACACCAAACCTGGGTTGCTTGCTGACTGCCGTGTAAATGTCTTTGCTTTTCTAAGCTGCAAGGACAAGATCCTGTTCATGCCGCCCTTCTCTATATTCCTTGAAGAATCCTGGATCTCTTACGTGTCTGGCTTTTTCTGTCTGCCTCACGGCAACCATCTCTCTACGTGCATCTTAAACAAGCTGGGAGTTACCAAGAGTTCTCTTCTTCACCTGCAACTGCTTCTCACTCCATCTGTTTGGTCTGGCGATCTTATTCTCCCACGCCCATGCCACACCCCATTCCGTCCCCAGTTCCAAACCCGCATGTCTTCTTGTCATCGCTTTCTATTACCCTCGTCCGTCCCTAACTGACCTCGGGAACTTCCCTCCCCAGGTTGTTCTTCCCTCTAATTTTCTGTAAAATTAGTGGACACCACCGTCCACTCAGCTGCTCAAGCAAGGGCAACTGGTTCAACCAGAAGCGCCCTTGAGCACAGCCCTCAGCTCTTTCTCTGTTGACCGTGAAATCTCAGCACCTTGCCCATGATGGAGGCTCAGGAAAATCGTATTTTTAAACATATAAAAGATTCAGTATCTCCTTCTGCTTCATTTCCTATTAAATAATAATAAAATGACAAAATTATAGGAGATAGGTATAGATAGGTGAAGGTTGCATAGTGCTTAACACATAGCTCTGTGAGTGTTTTCTGGGTGTTAGGCACTGTCAAGCACTTTATACCTTCATCTTCTACATATATAATTACATACAACATACGTATCTAAATAGATATGTGTATAGATACATATACATATATGTATGTTTGTAATGATTTTCACATCTATAATCCTCAGCTGCGTAACTTACCCATTTTACAGATAAATAAACTGATTTCCCGAACTCTTGCAGATAACAGATGGTGGAACTGCATTTGTATCCCATTTCTAAGGGTTTTACAAACGTTAATTCATTTAATCCTTCTAACAACCTTTTTGTGCCAGAGACTACCTTCCCTACTTTATAGACAGGGGAACTGAGGTCCATGAGGTTCAACGCCTCACTCCGGGTAACAGGCGGTAAGCTGCAAAACAGAAGTCCGGCCCACACGGTCCAGTTCTGGAGTCGGTGCCTTGCCGACTCTCCAGGGCTGGAGTCCATAGCGTAATGGTGGGGACACACCTGCATGCCCACCAACCACAGGCCCCCGGTCCTGCTTCCTGAGCAGCTTCTAGTTTGTCTTCTCCTCCCCCGTGTCAAACTGGGTGCAGACGGCACTAATGAGTGGTGTATACTGACTAAATGAATACATGGGTGAAAAAAGTAAGTAAGTAAATGAATCTCCCCACATTTGCTTGGACTCCTTTGTGGGGCTCCTTTCTCTGCTTTATTTATTTATTTATTTATTTATTTATTTATTTATTTATTTATTATTTATTGCTAAAAGGCATTTTTCTTCCTGCTTCATGTTTTATGCCATTCGACATTGCTTTCCGGAGATGATTATCATTATTCCTTTAGGTCTTCTCATCCATTATCATTTTTCCCTTAAACAGCTGATTGAAAAGGATTTGTTTCCTTCATACAGGTCACTCTTGTCTAGTGGTGAGGCCAAATGTTTTGTCCTATGGGAATGCATCTTCATTTTTATAATGGAAGTCAATGGGAGTTAATAAAAGGAATGGAAAAAGCCCATCGCTGCCAGCTTTTTAAGTATGTCTCCCTTCCACTCCGAGAGCCCCACCTGTCCTCACAGAATGCCTCCTGGGGAATCCTCCCAGCAGCTGGATGGACATTCTAGGAGACAATGGTGGTATGGCTGTTTGGAATGCTAGGGTACTCAGAGGACACATCGCAGACCTCAGTTCAGCAAGGAGGTCCCTGGCAGTCTTGGCACAAAGACCCTCAGTCTTTCTCTTAAACGTACCACAAAACTCTAGTGAGACTGGAATTCACTCCCCCCGCTTTTTTTTTTCTGTTCAAACCAATCCCAAGCCAGTGCCAAGTTCAGGGGCCAATTCACTCAACACATCATAATGACCTTCCATCGTGCTTCGTTCTGGGCTAGGGAAGAGGCCAACCAGCACTGAAGATAGGAGCCAGACTCCCTGGGCTTTTCGTTCTAGTGCTGAAGGATGTGAAGGAAGTGACTTCATTCCCACAGCGGGGGGTGAGAGCTCAGCGGTATGACTTGTGATGATGATGGTGATGGTGATGATGCTGGGTGGTAGAAGACACAAAGCTAACTCAGACCCAGTCCCCTTTCTCAAGACACTGCAGGCCAGCTGGAGAGATAGACATGCCCCTTGTAGTCCTGTGTCAGGAAGGTATAAAGGACAGGTACAACAGGTGGACTGCAGAAGATGTTCCTGGCTAAGGTTATCAGGAAAGCCTTCGTAGGAATGTAGGGATGTTAATATCTAAGCCAGACTTGCAAGATAGACAGGATCTGGAGATGCAGGGACAGACTGGAGAGCCAGTGTTATTGAAACAGAACTGGATCTGGCAATAACTCCTTCTGGAAAGCTGAGATATCTTCAAGTTGTCGCTGCTGCATGTTCTGCCATGAAAATGGTGATTAGAATTTTACATGCATGCAGCACATTTATTTTTAGAGTCTCCAGTGATATTATTAAAGACTAAAACCTTCCATTTTAATGTTGGTCTGTCTTAAAAAATGTGTATCTCTTTTCTTCCAATGAGTTCTCTAACTCAGGGAAGAGTTAGTGAGATGTTGGGACTAGCTATGAAATCTGAAATTCTTAGGATATTAAACAGGCAAAAAGTAAGCTTCAAGAATTTTTTGAAAGTAAAGTGTGTTGAAAAAGCCCCAGTAACGAAGGAACACCGATGATGTTCAGAACTGCCAGGGAGTTGGAGAGAAAAAACATTTCAGGAAAAAAAATGTGGAGATGAAGGGTATGTTAAATATGCTGTCAGGGTATCCTTGGGGTATCGTCCACTCTGGAGGCCGACAGCAGAGGATCCTGCAAAATGGGCCCCACACAGATGGAGAATGTCTCCTGAGAATCGTGCGGGGACCCAGCAAACGACTCTACTTCCCGTTGCCCAGTGATGACACTCTGAACCCTGGGTCATCAGTTTGTGCTCACAGGGTGCTGCCTGCTATGACACAGTGATTGCGCCACATTCTTGCATGTGATGGCCCCTCCAGGGGAGCGCTGTCAAAATCCTGCCTCCCTGCCAGGATGAAGCAAGATCTGCTGGCTTTGGATCCATCAGCATCCTGAATTTTAACACCACTGGTTAATATAATGGCACGGAAGTACTTAATCCGAGCAGCCTGAGAAGAAGGAAATCAGTGACTG